GAGGATGCCGGCGGACGGAGCCGTGCGGGGCCCGGGGCGGTCACGGGGGATGCTGGCCGCACCGTTCCCGGTTCCGGAGGATGCTGGCGGACGGAGCGTGCGGGGCCCGGGGCGCTCAGCGGGGCTCAGCGGCCCCGGTGCCCCGCTGCCGCCCGTGACTCAGGCAGCGCCGCCGCTGCCGGCCCGGCCCTCCCGGTTCCGCCGCTTTGTGAGTCAGGCTCGCACCCCGGGCCACCCCCCGAACGCTGGGACGTGCTGCTTGATGCTCCACAGACCTCTCCTTGCTTTCAAAGCCATCTCCTGCGCCCCGGGAAAATCTCCCTTTCAGCGTTAACAACCAGGAATGACTTAACGAAGCAGAGCGAGGAAGCGCTTGAACATCTTCCACTCTGCGTGCGAAGAGCGGAGCGCATCTGCTGACTACCAGCGGCGATGGGGTGGGAAGGCAGCTGCCTTCTCTGCGAGGGAGGAGAGAGCTGCTCGGTGATGCTCTGGGCACTACAGGAAAAGCTGTCATCTTCAACAGCAGCGCCCTGCCTCTCAGCGATCTAACACCCACCGCTTCCACAGCTCCTTTCCCCCTGGCTAAAATCCATGTTTAATGTAATGCGCCTGGAACACTAAAGAGGAATTAAACTGCAGCTACAGCTCTTAATTTGGCTAGAAGTGTTAAATAGCAATGGAAAAAAGTACAGCGTTTGTGTAACCTTGAGGAGGAAGACCCCAAATATGTAAGTCAATTTGTAATAAAGTCACCTTCTGTGAAATGTGAATGAAAATGGGCCTGTGTGCCTTTTCCTGGGACTCACACACCGTCCAGAGAGCAGAATGCAGTTTTTGTAAAGCAGCAGGATTCACTGGCACCTCAACCCTTTGCTAGCAGAGGAGAGTAGAAGTGCAGCCTCCCAGGAAAAGTCAGGAATGTGGGCAGGATAGGAGACAGCCACTCCAGCAGTGATTGAATTTCCTGAAGAAACTTCGGGAGAGTGAAGAGTTTCCTCTTGGGGAGAGGGGGCACAGGGTTATCTGTTTCTACTTCTTAAAAAGAGGTTTCTTTGGTTCTTCAGAGAAATACAGTAACTGAAATACTTATACTGCAAAGATTCATGGATCTCTCCAGGTTCTGGGGTCAAAGGCATGCAAATGCTAAGGAGCAAAACCTCCCAACTCTATCAACAACTACAAAAAAACATTAATTTTGTTTCAATTATCTTCTGTAAGGGCAGACATGACCAGCCAAGACTACTCCATCTTATCTACCTGCTTATGATGAAATTTTTTTTTGTCAGCTGCTATTCAAGTGCCCCACAAGCCTTCAAACACCATACACCCTTCACCTCATGCCTCAATTACATGCATCCTCACCACAAAACAGAGTGACTCAAAGTCTGCCCACACAGATCGTGGCCTAGACAGCTGCTGATCAGGATGTGGAGGATTCAGCCACATCCTGAAAATGGAAGAGGCCACAAGTAGGACAGACAGGATGGCACTGACAGGCGTGTGAGTCAGAACACAAGGGAGAAATGAAGATCCTGTTGACAGCATGACGAGCCTGGAGGCAAGAGGGAGCCTAATTTCTAGACACATACAGAATGGTGAATCAAGATAAAACCCTTCTGCAGCAGATGCTGTAACACTCTCTCAGGACAAACTTCTGAGCACAGAGATGTATAAATACATAAATACGTCAGGACCTGTATGAACAGCTCTTTAGGACAGGAGAGAAGGCTTCAGAGAATCTTTTGTCATTATTAGTTATGTTAGAACAGACTGGACCTTTGTCTCTCTGTTAACTTTTTGAGTCAACTCCATGGGTCACCAGCCAGAAAACCCAACATGAAATGCAGTCTGGTGTTTTGTTAATAATATACTCTGTGTTTGTTCATGTTCTTTAATCACATGGTTTTTGCTCTGTGGAACATCCTGTCTCTCTGGCCTAAGCCAGTTCAGAAGTAAAGATGCTTTGGACTGAATCCAGGCACCACATACATTTTTGTCTTGCTCTGGAAACCCTCTGTCAATTTAAAACCATTCAGCAGAGTTAGTATTACTGTATTTGCCTGAAGAACAAAAGGAACATGTTTATAAGACACAAAAACAGATAGCCCTGTGCCCTCCTTCCTCCAAGAGGAAACCCTTCACTCGCCAAAACCAAAAGGCTAACATACCAATAAATGTATTAAAATTAACTGCTCATAACATGGCATCCATTGCTACTGATATGTTTCTAATAAATCAGCAAATGTGGTAACTGTTTATTTTTCTGTATTTTCATACTAAGATCACAGCAGTAATATATCATACTAAAGTGCTTGGTTTGTCTGGTTTTGTGCAGAAGATTTTGGGGATTTGGGTATGTTGAAGTAATCTCTAAAACTTGTATTGTGTTTCTACTTTCGAGAAAGTGGTTAAACCACCAAATATGGCTCCAAATCACTGCCACTGTTGGGAGCAGAACATATTATACATAAATATAATATGTACCACTAAACTGTTAACATCTCCGTTTCCTGGATAACTGACAGAGCCTCTGGGTTCCCCACTGCTGCCTCCTGAGCTATGCAAACTGGACAATATGCACAATACTCACTGGAGAATAGTCCCAGTGCAGCAAATCCTCCTTCAGGTCCCCTCTGACTCATGCTTTCACAAGTTGGATAACAGGTTTTTATTCAGCCACGCTGATTTCCACCATGTCACTCTGAGTTTACAGAACACCTCAGTGCTTCACCTTCTGCCCTATTTGCAATGGATAAACTACTGAAACTGTGTCAGCACAATCAGGGCAATAGGATCCACAGAAGACACAATCAAACCAACCAGCACAACAATGAAAAAAAAGCCCCTCAAGATTTCCAGATCCCAAAAATACAAATAAACTGTGTAACTCAAAAGCTATACTAATGTGGAGTATTATTTTATAATAAGAACCAGCAAATAAATATATTGCTGAAATGCCATTTCAAACCAAGTGCACATATTATTTGTAACATAAAGAAACCAGAACTGACCATCAGGAATTTGAAATAAATGTTTTACATGGACATTTTAGTCTGAAGAGACCTATTCTGAAACTAAGCAGATAAATTAAGCAGTAATTAGCAAAATCACTGCAAAACAGTTTTTCCATTACAAGAATGTTTAGCCATGTTCCCCACAGAGTGATTGATTCCTACCTTACAGGTAATATTCAAGTTAACCTTCACTGTGGAACAGGTACAAATGTGCCCTCACTATTAACTCTCCTGTTGGATATTAGCCATAAAATAGCATAGCTACTTATTGTTAGAGATCCACTATTAAATGGGATTTGTGGGTTTTATCTTCCATCCTAAAATAGATTAATCTGCACCTTCATTGAAGTATGAGCATATAATAAGAGACTACTAATAAGAGACTACTTGTCCTACACAAAAATAATCAAATAATCTATTACTGGGTTTCTGAGAAACATTTTTTTGTTTTCTGTCTGTGAGACAATATTTTTTATATATATTTTAAAAAGTTAATGCTAATTAACACACACACTGCATATCCAGTAAGAATGCTGGTCAAATACTGGGGCAAGAATGAGAAGGGATCTGTTGACTGCAGTGTCATTTTGTTGCCATTGACTTTATATAGAAATAACACAGGTATTTTATATATCCCAAAATTTTGCACTTGGGATGAACATGAATCAAACTATATTATTTGGAGCCAAATGAATGTGAATGAATGTCATTCAAAGTGACACAACTGGATGTGACCCTGAGACAAATTCTTGTTACTTCTATGTGTGTGTGTGTTTGCAAACAGAACTCATGAAGCACATAAACCACAAGTTATTTCTAATTTTATCTTCTTTGTATTTCCTACAGAGAGAGAGGCATGTACTGAGAGTGGGCCTCTCTCCTGACCACCTAATTTTGTCCTGCTAATGCTACATTTGTGTCATTTTGATTTTGTAAACTGACTTCTACCTGGTCTGTCCCTTGCAGGAGAAGGATGCTCTTTGGACCCAAGAGGAAATACTGAATACACACCATGCAGCTTGTTATGCTGCCATTTTCACAGAAAACAGAGTTTTCATCAGATAAAACCATCAGATCCATCAGATAAAGCAGCTCTGGGAGTAGCTGAATTAGTGGAACCCCAGTTTAAATGGATTTTGTGGTTCCTGCCTGTTTTACAGTTCTCTGCTGTCCTCAGCTTGTGGCAATAAAACTCTTCTCCACTTCCTGTCACAGTAGACTCCTGTGTAATTACACACCAGCTGCCACACCTGCTCACAAACCAGCTGACTAAAAGTCTGGAGAGACAAACCTGACAAAGTTTGATTCAGAGCATTCTTGCACAACAGTTCCCCGTCTTCCAAAATGTGTATGAAAATAAGAATACCCAAGACTACATTTCTTCTTTTTTTGCCAGAAATTTTCATAGATGGGATTGTACTCATCCTCACCAAGTACTCAAACACCCATCTAAAAGGCAGTTTTGAGAAACAGGAAACATAAAATTCTGACACTCAAATGTCTTACTTTGTCATTAACCTTATTTTCCCAAGAAACGCTCTTACCATAGCAACTATTACATCTTAATAGTTATTTATTAGGTAAATATTAGGACATGAAGAAATCTTAAATAGGTGGTCTGATAACACAGGACTTTTTATTCAAAGGAACACTATTCACTGAGGAAAAAAAATTTACTCCACACAACCTGAGTTCTTATTTCTAGCAAAAAATCTTCTTCTGTTAACAAGAGAAACATCACCTTATTTTCTCCCTTGCTATCCTATAATTTCCTTGCATAAAAATTCAGGTAGCATTGACACATATGTACACCTTTGGAGAGTAAAAGACCAGTGTAAAGCCCACTCCCAAAAATTCAGGAGTCTCCTCAAAGTAACAGTTATGGACCTGGCAGTCTGTATCTGGTTTTAAGTTTTATTACATCTGGAAGTCTGTATCTTGTTTCAAGTTTTATTATATCCAGTGTGATGTCCAGATACTGTTCATCCTGAGCCTGTGTGGCTGCAGCTGCTGTGAAAAGTTCATTACAGCAAAAACCAACTGAAGAAATAAGAGCAAAGTACTCTTGTCCATAAGGCATTTTTTAGGCTTGCATAAATCTCTTGTAGGGTGTTGAAATTACTATTCTTTTTTACAACTGTGGGAGACAGAACCAAGAAATGGGTTTGTTCAGAGTTCCACAAAAAGCAGAGCAGAGCTCCTCAGGGCAGCAGAGAGCAGCTGTTTCTGGAGAGAGGCTGGATATGCACACAGATGGCTGAATTGCTGAAAACTGGGAAAAGGCAGGAGTAGAAAATTAACCTGAAATTTCTGGGTTTGTACATACCCAGTGTCCTCTCCAGGAGAGGAGATGAAGGAGAGGACAGCCCCTCTGCCATTTCCTTTCCACCTCTGCACATTTCTGTGACCCAAATCCCCCTCCCCTGTAGCAACTCAAGGTTCTGGTGCAGGTGAGACCTTTACCTGCCTCTTGTCCTGCCTCAGTGTTTTGAGATTCCAAAAGCTTTCTGCACCTTCACTTGAAAAGCTACACACACGTCAAACCTCTACAGAGCTGAATTTTTTAAGTAACAAAACTTGTTGGACAGGTGGATCTTGAAAAAGAAAATCATTAGAATTTAAATCTGGAGAAGACTAATGGGATACTCTGCAGTGATCTGACACCACAGACACCTAAAGTTTTACACAGTCACTTCTGGAGGCAAAGAGCAAGTGTGAGCTGGATAAAATCCTCAGGAAGAAATCCAGACAGTATTGATAAACTTCAAATGACTGTACAATCACCTCACAGTAAGAAGCACTAGTGACAAATCATCCTCACTTTTCCAATACCTTGCCTTTAGAAATATATTTTTCTTAAAGGAAAAGCTTTTTTTGTTCATATCTATATATATCTTACCTTAAATCCTGACAGTTTACAAGTAGTTTTTAATGCCATGGTGTATCAAAAAAAAAAAAAAAAAAAAAAAAAAAAAAAAAAACCCCAAAAAAAAAAAAAAAAAAACAAAAAAAAAAAAAAAAAAAAAAAAAAAAAAAAAAAATTAAAAAGCCCCCGGAGTCAGTCCTGTAAACCTCCTTATTTAGGGAAGTAAAACATTATTTGAAAACAAACAAACAAAAAACAGCTTTAAACTTCCATACTCAAGATAGAGCTAAACAAACCAATGCCTGTGTTTTGTTTCAAGTCTGAAAACTTCAGGTTGGATGAACTCCAGAAAGGCTGAGTGAATTTAAACATGCCAGAAGAATCATAAATTTTGCTTCTATAAAACAGAAGAGTGTGTTTTGCTTGCCAACAGGACACCAAGAAACCTTCCCACGAGGGAAGGAGAGGAACAATAGATTTTAAGCCTGCCATCTGCACACTCTTCCGTTACATTTTGAGAAGTTAAAATAATCTTCTGGGGATGAAAGTCTAAAGCAGAGAGATTATCTCCCTGAGAGAACCAGAGAAAGAGCAAAAGCACTGAACATGATCTGCAGGGCTGAGCACACAGAAGGGTCACACACTGTTAGACAATGCCACCCTGCACTCAGGTAACCCCCAGCAAGAACAGCAAAGAGCCTCCTCCCCCAAGGACACAAAGGATGAGATTTTTTCTCTATCTCCATGTGAGATGACTCCTTTTCTACATTATAGCCTCTAAAGACAACTCATTCATTTATTTTTCTTTTTTTTTTTCCTGTCTTTCTAAAACACTCTGTGTTTAGAGATAGTTACTCAAAAATAGAGCAATCAGGCAGGGAAGATTGTAAGGTGCAGTATTTAGGTATTAATTGGCAATATCAACTTTCCCCACAATCAATTCTTCATCCACACAAGCAAAGCAAGATGGTGTTTTCATGCCCAGTCCTGATCAATATTGTACTTCAGCAATTAATCACCTTGCTAGAGAGGAGAAAACCACAAAGGAGTGCCTTTGTCCTGTCTGTGCTTTCAGCAAGCCTTAGTCTGTAACGTTAACTGCTAAATATTGGACATCTCAAATGGTTCAGCTGGTTAGATTCCTTTTCTCTTTAAACAACACTGTTGCTCCATTTTCAGCCACAAGGAGAACAAGAACTGTAATAGTTGTGCACAGCCCACTTTAAAATACCAAAAAAATCCTAATTGAGTTACAATCCAACAAGTCCAGCTCTTGAAGTCCATCCTCACTCAAATGGAGCTCCACAAAACAGAAGATGTGAGAACTGTGACAGGTCTAACTCAGGAAAATTTCAAGAAATCCCCAAGACATCTCCTAGGAAGTTTGTTGGTGCCCATCTGGTAAAGAATTATGTACAATGACATTATGAACTCAAAGGTACAGCAATTTAATATTGGAGTATAAGAGTATTTTATATTTTTTTTTCTGTGACCAAGAGGAACATATTTACATTGGGTGATGGAGAAAGAATAAACAGAGGAGCAACATGTCTGAAAAACTGGGAAAGTGTCAGCTTCAACACCCTTAATTTTGTCACAGAGAAGGAGCAAGATTGCCTTCCCACAGCAGGGGCTTGGCAATTCAAATGGCCACGAAAGTCCCTCTAGAAAACAGCTTGGGAAATACATTGTGAAAACTGTCTAAACCACAGTCAGAGAAAAAGAAAGTGGATCAAGGAAGGGAGTCCAAAACAAGTAAGACTGTCCTGTTCAGAAAAGGGCAGGGCTGTGGTCAGCTGTGTATATATCATGTATTTTTTTGCTTTTTTTTACATTTTCCCTGAAATATTTTAATCTGCAGATATGACAGAGGTACTCTACAACTTTATGATTGAATAGACTAAGAATATTCAGGTGCTGTAGAGAAGAAAAGGCTCTCTGGGGACCAAGGGATCAATACAAAGCAAATCTTTCTGCAGCTGATACACTGCTCTTTTTTTTGCATAAGACAAATATTCTCTGAAAGCAAGTATATTCCACATGTAGATATGATTCAGTCAATCAAATTAATTACAGGAAGTCAGAAGAAACAGGCATTTGCATTCTAGCTCAGTTGAGAAGAGAAAATTAAACTCCTTATAAATGTAAGTGCAGTTAATGTCCATTAAACATGTACCATGCTTACTGGCATCTAATCTGTTTAAAAGCAATTCAGTTATCAGTCTGCTCTAAAATAAAAAAAAAAAAACAAACCACATAATGAACAGAGCAGGCCAGCATATTTATCAGATAGGCACAACTACCATTAAAATAAATGTTTTTCCAGGCTGTCCTTTTCTACTTGCAGTTTGTTTCGTACACGTACAGCAGAAAGGCAGGACAAAAATGTTCTCATGGACTGGAAATAGGCAAAGCCAGGAGTAGTGCATGAGGATTAGCAAGGGCTTCCTCAGCAGGGAACTCCAGCCTTGGGACAAACCATCACAAGGCACAGCTGAAGGCTGCTGTGAACTGTTAAGCCTGGAAGAAGGGAACAGACTGCATCCATGTGAGTTGGATGAACATTTATAGGTACATTTATAGTATTTTAGAACTCATGGGTTTATTCATGCTCAGAAGCCCACCTCAGCTGGGAATGCAGTGTCATGACAGTGCCATGAGATCAAGGAAACCACTTTGGCAATTACTCCTTTCTGTAGAAGGAATACATCCCAGCAATTCCATCCTGGCATTGTTCTATTAGTAAAGAAATCATACCCAACCAGTCCCAACAACCCTCATTAGCAGGACTTTGAAGACTTCAGAATTGCAAATTGATCTCCTATGCTACAAACAAAATCCTTTTGAAAATGCTCTGACCATGAGTGATCCTCAGCAGCCCTGCTGCATCCAGGACATTTTCAGGGACCAAGCCACACACTACTTGTATTTCTGCTTAAACTTGGGTCTTGCCCAAAGAAAGGCCTGGCTTTTTTCCACTGCAACTCTATTAGCATTGCCAGCAAAGGGAATTTATGCAGAGTAAAGGGACTGGCTTTCCTTCTACAATAGGGCCAATTGTCTCAGGCTGCCACATTCAGTTAAATGTTTACTTTGTTGTTTCACAACTCAACAGGAAAGGAAAGGTCAGACAGGCCCTACTGCAGAACAAAGATTTTGTCATTCATCTATTCACCTCAAGCCAAGATTCCAGTGGGAGACTACTGCTTTCCAGTTTTTTCCCTCTTCCTCCAGAAGAGAGACACCATGTAGTAAATTAACACTCCAGCAATTCTACCAGTCTGGTTTCATATTCTAAAAGAAACATTAGATGTCAAAGCATTCTGTAAAGGTCCTGAAAG